ATCATGGCCGCTCCGTCGTCTTCGATACAAGCGACGGTCGGGAACGAGTCCCATCACGAAGGCATCGCGCTGTCCAAGGTGTCGTTGCAGCAGTACTTGACCCACATTGCCAAGTACACCGAGTTGGAGCACAGTTTGTTTGAGCCGACCAAGGACGATCACGTGGTGGTACGGGTCCGATCCTTCGAGTCTCTTTCTTGAAAGGTTCGGTTAGGTGAGCACGCAGTCGTGCTTCCTGCCTCTCACGGACACAGGGGACGTCGACTTTTACGTGGGGCTGTTCAACTATCAGTCGACACACCCGGCGGTGCTCGTGCCGACCGACGCCGGAACGAGGTCCACCACCCATTTCCACCCTCTTGCGATTCAAGAATTGGCTGGACGTGCCCAAGTCGTTTGTGGGACTCGGCGCGGCGACATGTTGTACTTTAATGACCACGGGACCAAGCGAACGTTCCAGGCGACGTGGCTGAGCACCGACCGCAGTCGCCGTGGCGTCGAGGACATTGGCGCCATGACGGCAGGCGAAGAAGCGAGGAACTACATCATGGAGGAACTACATCATGGCCGTGCAGATCCCGTTGGTCGTGCCCCCGCGTCAATCACCGCCGCAAGCACCTTCACCAGCCGCTGTTTGCGACCGCAGGAGGCTCTGGCTTGGGCTTTCGACCGGCGCCCTTCAATCGCGGCCACACAGAGCGTCGCGACGCTGTCCCGAAATACCCAGACCAAGGCATGGGCAAAAGCGTGTGGCCTCGATATTGTCAACGTGTCGTGGGAAAACTGCGCTCGCACCAAAAACAGTTGCTGGGGGCCATGCATCTCGGACATGACCCTCGTCGTCGGCAGCGCGTGGATGTCGGTGCTTCGTGCGCCCAACTTTTCCGGTACATCGTCGTCGATGCTTGTACTTCCTGACGCACGCACAACCGCGCCTCGTGCAGATTCCATCATGACCGTTCCGTCGTCTTCGATACAGCGACGGTCGGGAACGAGTCCCATCACGAAGGCATCGCGCTGTCCAAGGTGTCGTTGCAGCAGTA